AACAACTTCAAAAAATGAAGAGTACTCAGAAAGTGATTTTCTCTCATTCTTATAAATTGATTCCTTGATTTTCTCTATCATTGAATCCCACATCTTATAAATCAAATGAAATGTAGGTCTATCTGTGTCAGCAAATCTTAACATATCATAAATTCGTTTAGTGAAAGAGAGAATATAATCAATCTTCTCCCACCAAAGATCATTAAGAATTATGTCCTTTATAGTAGCAGCCTTTCCAACATCATCATCTCTATAAGCATTCAATTGTTCACTAATGACCAGTGTACGAAGAGAAGTTTTGATAAGTTTGAATCTCTTCAACATCAAAATTGTTGATGCAAATCTTGTTTCGGCTATTGCAAGAAACTTTAATGGCACAAATTCATTAAACATGGCCAATCTTATAGAATGATTCATGATAAATGTTCGGATGAAGACGCATCATCCCTCACCTTAGTGATCCAACGGCATTCTCCATAAACAATTTCATTTGCCTCTATATTTTTTATTGCACATATATTCTTCAAGGCAAGATTAAGTGTATGCACCATACATGGTGTCTAAAAGATGTGAGGATATTCATCTTCCACCATCTTACCTACAGATTTACAAACAAATGCATTATCAGTGATTACTTGCATAACTTTATGAGGCCCCACTTCTTCAACCACTTTCTTTATCAAGTCAGCCATGTAAAATCTGTCTTTATATTCACTAGTTGCATCAATTGCCTTCAAAAACATGGGGCTTCCATCACTTACAACCATAAAATTAATTAATGGCCTTCTTTGTATATTTGTCCAACTATTCGTAACTATACTTACCCCCTTATGATTCTAAGTCCCTTTGATTGATTCAAGTTGCCTTTCAACATTAGCCCTTTCTTTTTGCAACAAAATAGATCTTAGTACATTATAACCAGGAGGTTTAAAACTAGGAATTACATTATTGGCAGCATATTAAAATGCACTAATAAAATATGGGTTACGTGCCAAATTGAAAGACAAGTTAGCCGAATAGAACATTCTAGAAATTTTAGCAGTTAAATTATCTCTAGCTCCTTGTTGGAAATCTCTTTCTATTGTATTTGTTGCCCTCCTTTTTCCCTAATTGTGTTTACTTTGAATAGGGGTAGAACCCCTTTGACATAAAGGAGACAAGCTCTCAGTTGAAGTTGGCAATGGCACATGTCTTGGTTATGTTTTATTCTCAGCCTCTTCTTGAGCTTTTCGCATTTCACCTAAACAACTATTATCAACTTTCGGGCATATAGCAATACCCTTTCTAGAGATCCTCAACAAATGAAATTTAGCTCTAGAATAAGAGCCATTATAATAGTTATTACAATAGTTACACTTTCAACTTCTATTCCCACCTTCCCCTTCATTTTAAAAGTAATCAGATTATATAGAAATTCTAATACTATTAATATTAATTGTCATAACAAGACTTCAACATTTTTTTTTCAAAAAAAATAGTATCGATGAGGAGCTTAGCTCCTTCCAGTTTACAATAGTATATAAATCAAAATAAAATCCTAACAATAATCTATGTAGAGCAACTAATCTTTCTTCTAGATTTAAAAGTATTAGTACTAAAATATTTATATAAAAAGTAACAATACCAAGCAAAATTTCCCACCTAGTATAACTGTGTTGCCCCTGTTGAGGTCGGTGGTAGGATTAACGTCAGCTAATGAATTTGAGACCCAAATAAATTTTTCCAGTGAATATCATCCCAACAATAAATAATTGATCATAAATAAACAAAAAAAGTTCAAAATAATTATGTAACCAAAGTGGCAACTTCTTCTATAAAAATTCCTTAAGCTTTGGAATGAAATGGCTCTATAAAATTTAAATAAAATTGTAAATCATTGAACTATCATGAAAATTGTTATTATCACTTGATTTCAAGAAAGTATGTAAATGAAATAAATACTTATAAACAAGTTACTAAGTAAGAACTAGTGAAATATAAAATTACCAAATAATCAAATTTTAATTATAGGGACTTATCAGAACAATTAACAAATGTGGACATAGTCTATGAAGGTAAATAATCCAGACGCGGCTTATGTCACAAAGACAAACATGGGCACATAGTCTACAAGGATAAGTAACTAAATGCAGCTGAAGCTACGAAACAAATGCGAACACACATAGTCCATGAGGGTAATGCTAACCAAACGTGGCTCAAAGCCACGAAATCAAACGTGAGTACAATGCTCATGAATAACCATCCCTCCATTCCACATGTGTTGGCCATCACACGGGGCTAGCACCTCTTATAAGCACCCTGCTAGCTAGGTGTATCATGGCATGCCAAGGGCTGACAAAACTGCCGTTAGCAACTAGTGTTCTGTATAAAGTCCCCTTGAAATTCACTTTCAAACCAATTTCAAACATGTGAGAATATAATCACTATAAATAAAATTTTTATTTTCAATGTTGAACTCACATGAATCATTTTTTGTAGCAATTCAATAATTTCCAGAATGAAAATCCCATAATTAAAATCTAAACTTGTATTTACTGATAAATTAAAATTATCAAATCTGGTAAAGATAACTTCACAAAAATAAAGTACTTTAATCAACAAAATATCTAATAATCACATTGTTGCTATAAAAAGGATTTGTATAAAAATGTAATATTTTAGTAAAAATTTTATTAGAGAATCAGTTGGGATGGTATCCACTTACCTGAAATTTCCAAAACTAAAATTCATCTCTCACCGTTGATCAAATTTCTCCTCTTCCAAATATCCTATAAATCATATTAAAATTCTAGTCAACCCTCAACCAGTACAATAATTCCTTTTTAACATTCCCACCACTAATAAACTATAATAAATTTGAAAATTTAAACTGAAGTTATATATAAAAAAATATATTTCTCATTAGCATTTTGTCAAGGCACCAATATGTATCCTTTTCAATCTCCTCATAACAATTCTAGCGTTAAATATTTTCTCAACTAAGTATCGGTCTCCAAGAATTCCAATGATCATATATTATTAATTTCATAGTCAAATGTCCTTTGTACCTTTCAAGTTAAATTTATAGATTAATAACTTCTAAGCTAACTTTACTTCCCACAAGAATTTATGAAATTTTAAAGTCAAATTCAATTCTTCTAACAAGCATTTTAATAAGCATCTTATAGACAATAATCTCCCATTATCGTATCTAACCTCTTCTCGTCCAACTTCATTTTACCAAATCCTTCAACATCAATCATTCCAACCAAGTTAATTTATTCCAAAAATTATGACCATATGAAGATTAGTATCAAGCTTAAGATGGATTTTCAGCTCAACATTAGAATTTGTTATTCTCTGAGACACACGAGCAGCAGCCAAACACACCAAAATTCTATAGCTTTAACCATTAAAATGCTCACACAGAAAATTAGCAAGATGAAGGGTATAAAATTTCAGACATTAATTAGGAACCATAAGGAAGACAAACAGAAGAAAGCCAATCGAAACTATAGAAGAAAATTCATGCATCAACAGCAGCATCTATAGGACACAATTTTTCAGCATCATCTCCATCTCTTCATCCATTCACACGTACAAAATTTTTTTCGAGGAAAGGATATAAGATCAAGTTTCTAACCTGAAAATTCCTACACGTACCAACAGAGAAAGAAGGAGGTAGCTTCAGGTATGAACAGTAGAGAGGAAGGACTATCACCATGAATCAAGAAAAATAAACAAACCGGTGATGACAAGATGAGCAAGAGAACGAAAGAAATCTTAGCTCACCCAATCAGTTACACACATACACGAAATAGCAACGAGAAAGGAAGAGAAGTCGAACATACTTGAGGTAGTGACAGAGGAGGAAGAGTGATGGTAAAACAGAGGAAGAACTCACAGCCGCGGAGGAAGAACCAGTGACAAGCACACCGACGATGGCAACAGTGACTCATTTGAGCAACGCATGACCGGTGATTGAGAAGGTAGGAGGTAGAAGTCGGTGAGAGACAGAGCAAGGATTTGGCATCTGCTCTCTAACTCTCTCTCTCTGCTCTTCCAAAACGTTCGGAGAATGCTAGGAAAAAGAAAAAAAATCTGACAAAAATGAGCGCAGATTTGTAATTTCATAAAGTATAAAAAAAATAAAACCCTTAGGGGCTGATCAGATTTAAACTTGAGACCCTTTTGATGGACTATCTAAATGGTTTCCACTATACTAACTTCTCTTCTTATCAAACTTATCCTAAGAATTAATATAAGTACTATTAAAACATAAACTTATATATATATATATATATAAAAATTTTTATAAAATTCATAGGTCATTACAGCGGCAAACGCGAGAAAGGGGTCGACTGGAGCTGAAATTCTTTGGGCATCGCATTTTTGGAGTTGGGACTAAGTAAAAAAAAAGTGAAAAACACAGAGTTTTGCGTTCGCCCATGTCTGACCCGCATTCTCCCGTGTCAACCTGTCTCAACTCGCGTCCACCTATGTCCACTGAAAATTGGGAAAAGGGATGCAGCGTTTTCATGTCCTGAATGCGTGTCCGTGTCAGATACATATCCAGTTAAACCTCGAATATAACAATAACAAACAATAAAAATAATATAAGTTGTCACTTACCTCGCTGCAGCAATCCTAAAAATCTCTAAGAACAAAAAGTAATTTTAGAGCAAAATGGTTGTTAAAATTTAAAGTCTATTGTAACTCAAGGGAGAAAAACACACCCAAAAAAAAATGAGAGAGAGAACCAAAAAAATTTTTTATTTGTTCACGAAAAAGTATATCATTTGAGCATTAGGAATAATAATTAGAATTTTAAAGTTCATAAGAAAATTTAGATGGTTAAAATATTTGAATGTGATTCTCTTTTTCCCTTTCAAGTTTCAACACACTTTTTTTGGTCCAGGCAGTGTCTTCTCCAACATCAGCTTCCTTTATTCTATATGTCACGCCCCAAAAATCAGGTGTGACCGACATGGGATATAGGCACAAAACTCATATCCCTTAAGCCTTGATCGAAGAAACTCTGAAATTAATACGTTAAACACACTAATAGAGTAATTAGAAATTGTTACAATATTAATTCAAATATTCAACTTTAAAAGAAATATAAGGATCCTACCTGTAGTCTATGTGGAGCACCTAAGGCCAGACGCCAACGTAGGTATAAAGTTTAAATTTTTCATCAAATTAGGATTTGACTAAAATAATTCTTCTACTTCAATTCAGCAATAAAACTCCTCAGTGGATATCTCGAGTCACGAGTTCAACTATACCATCTGAGACCAAAATATCTTTTCCAGTAAATAACGTCCCAACAATAAATAATAGAACATAAATAAAATAAAAAGTTTGAGATAGTTATGTAAGTTAAATAGACAAAATTTTCATAAAAATTTTATAAACTTCATAATAAAATGGCTCTATAAATTTCAAATAAAATCTCAAATCATTGAACTATCATAGAAAATGATATTATCACTTAATTTCAAGAAAGCACATAAATGAAATAAATATTTATAAACAAATTACTAAATAAAAACCAATAGAATATGAAATCATCAAACGATTGGATTCATAAAATTAGAGACTTATTAGAACAATTAACAAACATGGACACATAATCCACGAGGGTAACTAACCAAACGCGGCTTATGCCACGAAAACAAATGTGGACACTCAGTCCACGAGAGTAAATAACCAAATGCAGCCGAAGCCACGAAACAAACGTGGACACACAGTCCATGAGGGTCATGATAACCAAATGCGGCTTGAAGCCACGAAACAAACGTGAGTACGATGCTCACGAATAACCATCCCTTCGTTCCACGTGCGTTGGCCATCGCACGGGGCTAGCACCTCCTATAAACACCCTGTTAGCTAAGTGTACCATGGCGCGCCAAGGGCTAACGGAACTGCCGTTAGCAACCAGTGTTCCGTATAAAGTCCCTTTTTTTAAAACTATTTTCAAACATGCGAGAAAATCATCACTTTCATGATACAGTTCTCGTTCTCAAAATCAAACTCGCATGAATACTTTTAAGCATGAAAGCTTGCTAGAATAAAATTTCATATCCAATGCTCATGCTTGCATTTATCGAATAATCAAAATTTCAAAGTCGAACTCGCATGAATCATTCTCTGTATCAATCCAATATTTGATAAAATAAAAATCTCATAATCAAAGTTCAAACTTAATTTAATTGATCAAATAACATTTCAAATTTGATAAAGCTAATTTCTCAAAATAAAGGAAAGTTAATCAACAAATATCCAATAATTGCATTAATGCTATTAAAATGATTTTCAAAACAACGTAATATTCCAGTAAAAGAAATTTTGTTTAAAAAAAAATCAGTTGGGACGCTATCCACTTACCTGATAAGCCTTTCCAACCTCTATAGCTTACTCCTTATCACTTTTATCAAGTTCCTCTTCCTCTAGACACCCTATATGAACATATTTATATACATGCGAAAATTTAAGCCAACAAAAATAACTCTAATCAACTACAATAGTAATTATTCAAAGACACCAAAATCCATATCTTAAAAGCTTCTCTAATTTCACAATTACTTCATATGAATACTCCCCTTATCTAACATATTGAGTATACTTTTATTTTCAAACTCTATAACATACACATCCAATTTTTTTTTTTTATGTGTGTGTGTATGTATATATATTACATTTAATCTTTCAATTGCTTCATAATTCCTTTAGTGCACGTTATGTCGAACACCTAACATACACCCCAAAATTGAATCATAACACAACACTGTAATTTAAAATTCTCAACCATAACTCAAGAATCCAATAAATCTGTCAATAACATAGATAAATGTCTTTACAATATTCGATTCAAATTTACAAATGAGTAACACCCAAGCCAATTCATGTCTCTTGCGAGATCCAACAAAGTTGTAGAAGAAAAAAAATACCTACTCATATATCTCCCTTTACCATTTCCAAGTTAAACTCATAAGATAATAGCACCCCAACCAATTAAGTCTTTCACGAAACTTATTGATATTCTAGTAAATATACAATAAAACAACTTTTCACAAGCATTTTAACAAACATTTCATGGTCACTAACTGTCAAATTCCATGTCAAAGTTTTTTCCATTTCAGACTCATCCTAACCGCTTCTTAACATCATCTAGTTCAAACAAAATTAACTTGACTCAAACTCTAACCATACTTATCATAATCATACTTCCACTACACAAATTTCAGTAACTTAGAAAAAAAAATTTCAATTTCAATCATTCATTCAGACACTCTTTCTTGCACTAAATTATCAAGAAGAGTTCAAAAATCCTCACCTTAAGTACCAACAGTAACAGAGGAGGGAGAGAACGAGAAGAAGCCGACAGAACAGGGAGAGGAGTTCTCCTATTTCCAGCTTCAACCAATGGCAGACCACTCCTCTTTCTCTTTTAAAAAACGCACAAGCAGGCTAAAGGACCAGATGCACTCAACCACAGCAATAATAGAAGAAGGAAAAAAAAAATCACGAGCTGCATAGAGAACGAATCAGAGACAGGGTGATGGACCCCATGGCACGGGTGACATAGCATTAATGGCAACGAAGCCTGAGGATGGTAATCATGAGCATGGTGACATAGAAGGAGCCCAATACTTCCAATCCAACATACCTAAAGACCCATTGCAACATATTGGAGGTCCAATGACAAGAGCTCGAACCAAAGCCATGAAGCAAGCCTTGTTCAGTCTTGTGCAAGAAGTTCAAGAGCTTGGAGAGCATTGGGGCACTCCGCTCAAGTCCAAAGGAGAGCATCTATATGTGTATAATGTATTTAAGATCCAAACTCATGAAGAGTCAAGCCCAAGAGATGCAGACCTTAGCCCAATGCAAGGAAGACTACAAGTTGAGCCTCTTGCATGCAAGGAGGCATGAAACCCTAGTAAAGAAGTCAAGGGTGGCGTGATTTCAAATCCTTTATGATCCCTTGATTGTCTCCTAAATTATTTCCTATTTTAATGGTTCTTTGATTTGATTTTCTATTTTGAGTCTAGTCAAAGATTAGAATTAATTATAATATTAATTTCTAATTTTTGTAATCCCATAATTTTAGGATCACATCTCCTAAATTATGTGGCTGAATATTTTATCATTATTTCTCCTTTTTAGTATTAGGAAATTAGGGTTTTAATTTTAGGAAATATTTTTCTATGAACCTATATAAATTAGGCATGCTCCCTATTGTAAACAACACAGAAGTTGAATGAAATTATTCATTTTAGAGTTTATAACTCTTGTGAGCCTTAGTGCCTTGTGGTGGTATCCCGTGTGAGAAACAGACGTGATCAAGAGCGTGATCAACTCTTGTGGTGTCTTCGAAGGTTGAGGTTCCTAGAGGCAGGTGCTCTAGAGGATCTTCTCCTTGATCATTATCCTATTGTTTACTTCATATCTTTCTTTATTTTCGTCATAAATTTCGTCCCTTTCTTTTTGTTCTTGTGTTTTTGTTGTTTCAGGGTTCTGTCCCTAAACTAGCACGATTCTGCTTCCGCGTCCCTATCACAGGGTACACACGAAAGGAAGAAAACAGAATCACAGCACTAGATCAAACAGAGATGAGCTCGCGAACAACCCTACCAGCTCCGACGACCTGATTCTCGGACCCCAGCTGCGTGAACGTGAACAGCGAGAACGGAGAAGCAACAAAGAAAACAAGTAGAGACAGGGAAGCACGACGGACAACCTGGGCATCACATAGAGACGCCGAGTCTCCACTTTCACCGCGCGATCACCGGAAACCAGAGGGGAGAGATAAAATACAGTGGAGGACTACAGAAAAAGGGAAGAGATGACAGTGGACTGGAGGAAATCGAAGCTCCCTATCTCTCTCCATTGTTTCTGGACTTTTCGGCAGGGAAAAGGAAAACATAAGGAGAGAAGAAGCCACACGTTTAGGTCTCCGTCTCTGTCTTTTTTTTTTCAGAAGGGCATCATTGTAATTTCGTCTGAAGCAAAAGAGAAAATATAGAAAATTTGCACTCTTAACCTTATAAGATTCAAACTCATGACCTATTAAATAAGTAGCAATATAATTGCCACTAGACAAACTCTTCTTCTTACTAATTTATTCCAAAATTAATATAAATACACTTAAACACAATATTATGTATTTTTTTATTTTAATTTTAACTTTTAATTTTTCAAAAAAAAAAATTTGGGTTATTACACTATAACCACATTCACGACTCTCTTTTTCTCTCTGTAAGTTTCTAAGTAACGAATCTGATTGAAACAAACGTTTCGCTTTGTTTCCTGCAGCCATGTGCTCCTATACGTCTTTTTCTCGGATCTCATTTTCATTTCTTCTTGTTCCTCAGCTTTAAAACTCTCTTGTTCTTGAGTTGCTTTCATCTCTTTCAAGTTTATTTCTTCTCTAGCTACTCTTCCGACTGCACATCTTGTTTTGCACTATTTGCTGCCGATACTTTAGCATCTTCTCATTGGTTCAACACCATTGTTGAAATTTGATCAAGGGGCTTGCTAGAATGAGAAATTCAGACCAGGTGGAAATTCCTATGAAAGCGAATGATTCAATATCCTGGAAGGTGGCATGCTACGAAAAGCTGCAGGAACTGTTGAAGAAGCAGTTTAGATCATCAGTTAATCAAACTCAAATTGGCGTTATTAACGATAGCATGAGTTATGAGTTGTACAACGCTGTTGTTGATGAGCATGAAGATGTAAATAAGTTTCTTGATGTCTTGGAGAAAGTTTGCAGAGAAAAACAACTTGATTGTTCCACCATTATATATCAAGCCACTCCTTCGGGTGATTCGTTGCTTCATGTTGCAGCTGAATACGGGAGAACAAGGATTGCAGAGCTGCTTGTTGATAATAATTTTTTACTGATTGTGACAAACAAAAGGAAGGACACTGCACTTCATGTTGCTGCAAGAGCTAAGAGTATTGAAGCGATGAAGGTCATCCTGTCCAAATTTGACGATGCTAGCAGTAAGAATAACTTTATAATGTTACCCAATAAGGTTGGGAATACAGCTTTGCACGAAGCTATTATAAGCAAAGATCCTGAGGGGTTTGCTTTCATTTTAAGTGAACAAAGTGAAAGTACTTTGTCGTTCTATTGGGACACTCACCCAGCAGATTCACCAATGTATGTGGCAGTCCAAAGTGGGAACGCTGAAATTCTTCGTCGTCTCTTGCAGATTCCATTTCCATCAGACCGGGTCATATACAAGAGCCGTGGAAACTCTCCACTTCATGCCGCCATATCAGAACGCAATATTGATGTGTGTGTGATGCCAAATTAATGGATCAGTGATCTGCTTTTTTGTTTGATCCACTTTTATTTATATATTAAACATGTCTGCTTTTATTTATGTGTAGCTCTTTTCAAGGAGATAGTAGACAAAAAAGAAGAGTTGATGTTCCTCGGAGATGAAAATGAAAGCACACCCCTTCATTATGCAGCACTCACTGGTTACGTGGAAGGTGTTCGTAAACTATTAAACAAATCCACACTTGTTGCCTTTCAACAAAACGCAAATGCAAATCTTCCGATTCACGTTGCTTGTGGTGAAGGCCGTGTTCGGGTGGTTAAAGAATTTCTACGCATACAAGGGCCTTGCACCAGTTTGTGGCTCAATAATGAAGGCCGAAACATTCTTCACATTGCAGCAATGAGGGGGAAAAACTCGATGGTTAAATACCTATTGAAGCATCCAAAGATTGATTCTAAAACTGTGAATGAGAAAGACCTGAATGGAGACACACCGCTGCATCTGGCTTCAAGAAAGTTGCATCTTTGGACTCTACTGCATCTTTCACGTGACAAGAGAATAAAAATGAACCTTGTAAATGACCAGGGTTTAACAGCTAGAGATATTGTCCGATCGCAGAGAAACTTTCCAATGACTCGTCGAGAGGTATGATTTATAAGCATCTTTATACATTGTGTTCTATTATTATCTTTCTCTGTTCTTACAGGTTCTAAACATCTACTTGTTTGGTTTGATCACCTTGCAGCTCGGAGCAGATGTGATTCTAGGAATTGCTGGTGGTGCCGCGAGGGCCATTGAAAATAAACAAAGGCAATCACAACCTGTGGCGAATAAAGAATGGAATGTGAATGATGGGGCCAACACGCTCATAATTGTGGCCGTACTGGTAGCCACAGTGACATTTGCAGCCGGTTTCACAGTGCCAGGAGGGCTATACAGTTCGGATGACTCAGTCCCTAAAGAAAGAGGCATGGCAGTGTTGACAGATCAAACCCTGTTCAAAATATTTATGGTTTTCAACACGATTTCTATGTATTGCTCCACTATCGGTTCTGTGATTCTTACTTGGATGCATCTGGGTGATCGTCGTTTTTCATTGCGAGCTTTTTATATCTCTAGGGCTTTTGTCAATTGGGCTCTTATAACCATGACAGTGGCATTCATGGCTGCCATACGTTTGGTTGTCAGCAATAACGACTTGTTTGCAGATCTTATAAGTGCCATTGCATTCATCTTCATTTTCCTTAATCTATGTCTTTGGTTTATAGGACATTTTCCTTTGGGATCACGCCTTCCAATTTTACGTCAAGTTGGAGAACTTAGTCTCTGGATTGTTCTTATTTTATTTTATGGGACTAAGGATGATGTAGTGTAAATTTTAAATTGAACAAATTTTTCTCATAATGAATGTATTATTTAAATAAAGTTTATAATAAGTAGAATTGGGTAGTTTATAGGAATTTATGTTGAAAATTTATTCAAGAATTCAGAGTCCAAATTTTTTTTTCTAGTAAAAGTCTGATTTTAAATTATAAAAAAATTTTGTGCTCTTTCTAGTAAATTTTGTGTGCCCTTTGTTGTGATTTTCTCGTGCTCCTTCTTATAATTTTCCTGAATACTCTTATATCAGATTCAGGCGAGAAAAAAAAAACAAGAAGAAGAAAATATTTAAAAGAGATATCGGGAAACTTCTGCTTCATTTGAGAGACTGGTCCAGAAGAGAGAGATGGCTGATTTTTCTCTCCTTCTTTCTTGATTCCTCTGCATCTCTGCTTTCTTTTCTTTCGTCTTCAACCACTGCCAATGATAGTGGCTGTTGTTGCTTCGACCGTCCGCCATTGACAGGTGCTGGAGCTCGTTGATTCGTTGCTGTATGTTTGAGAAGATTCGAAGGCTCTGGATCAAGGAGAATGGGAGAGAGCTTTAAACTATAGCTACGTCTCTTCCGATCTCCTTCCTGTGCTGTTCTTTTCGTCTGTCACCAGTGAGCTTGAGCATGTTGCAGATTTCTTCTTCCTTTTCCTCTGTTCTATATTACTGATCGCTCAACACTGTAGGTCGTCGTTCAGCTCGTCCGTCTGCTGTTCATTCGCGTTGGCGGCCGTTTTTTCTTCCTCTGTTAATATCGAGCTATGGGTTCTTAAATTTCAGATTGGAGAGTGGTTGATTCACACTGATTTACTGGTTTTCTGCTTCCCCTGTTCAGCACCGAACTGCTCTCCCTTCATAGTCGTTGTGGCCGATATCTGGTGAGGGAGTTCATTCTCCCATTCTCATCTCTAATGATTTTATGTGGTGCGTATATATATACATATTGGCTTTCCCTGTTTGCGTTGCTCGGTCCTTCTTCCTCTTCTGTCTTTACATTATCCGAATCTTTTGCTTCCTTAATTTTGCATTGTTGCTGATTAAACGTGAGGATAGGTTCGAAGCTTTCCTTCCTCGTGACTTTGTGTGTGTATGTTTATGTGATTGAGCTTGCAAAGTTTCCCTTGTTATTTGTTCTGCCCCTGTATATGCCTAACTTAGGAAGGGACTTGAACCAAAATGAAATTAGTTTGGGTTGAGTTTTTCTTGATTCTAAGTTGATTATTAGTACAGATTTTGATTGGAAAAAAAAATATGATAAATTCAGAAGTTATATTGGATATTGTTGGGATGAGATTTGAATAGAAGTATTAAAATCAAAATCTATCAAGAATTGGGATTGAGAAACTATTGTGTATATTAATGATTGAAGGTTATTTGATTTCTATTTTAAGAATTATAGAAATTAATTTATAAGTTATAATTAGGAATTTGGGTGGTATACCAAATGTTTGATGAAATAAGTAAGAGATAAATTTTGAACTATTGAGACAATTAAGAGTGATGAAGGTATCATTGATTACATTATAAAACAAGTAAATTACTTTTTATGATGAAGCTTGGAAAAAAAATCAAATCAAGAAGTTGGCTTATTGGTGATAGATTAGTATTTGAACTTATTATGTGAAATTATGAAATTTGTTGGATCAGTTTGAGTCTTAAAGCACATGGAAACAATAAAGAAATTTATTATACTTGATAATATTTATGATACTGAATTAAAGGTGTTATGCGATCAGTTGTGGCTATGTAGGATAAGAAATTGTACTGTTTTGAATAAAGCATACTTTTGTAAAGCATCGTTGGAGAACCTTAAGGATAAATTACTTATTGGTTACAAAAAGAAGGGGGCATGGTTGAAATAAGTATATTATTGTAGGTGTAAAAAAAAAATAAGAATATAGTTTTTAACTATGGTTCGTGGGCTAAGTACCAATAGGGATTGAGAGAACTTTAATATGTTCTAGATTGTATATATAGTGGGTTTATGAATGTTAGTTAGAAATATATGAATTAGAGCTGTTAATGAATAAAGTTCTTTGTTCTTATGGTTTAGGCAATAGAGTACGTAGCTGAAGAGAAGTGTAGAGGTGTTTAGAAAGAACATATGATTATTCTTGGAGCTTATCAGGTAAGTGGATGGTGTCCCAACTGATATTTCATTAAAATCTCTTTTATTCGAATATTACATTTTTATGCAAATTCTTTTTACGACAGCAATGTGACTATGAGATATTTTGTTGATTAAATTACTTTATTTCGTGAAATTATTTTACCAGAATTGATCATTTTAGTTAATCAGTAAATACAAGTTTGAATTTTAATTGTGGGATTTCATTTTGGAAATTATTGAATTTCTATGGAAAAACAATTCATGCGAGTTCGACTTTGAAAATGAAAAGTTGATTGAATAGTGATCAAATTCTCGCATGTTTGAAATTGAATTTGAAAGGGACTTTATATAGAACACTGGTTGCTAACGGCAGTTCCGTTAGCCCTTGGCGCGCCATGGTACACCTAGCTAGCAGGGTGTTATAGGAGGTGCTAGTCCCGTGCGATGGCCAACGCACGTGGAACGGAGGGATGGTTATTCGTGAGCATCGTACTCACGTTTGTTTCGTAGCTTTGGCTGCGTTTGGTTACATACCCTCGTGGATTGTGTGTCCACGTTTGTTTCATAGTTTCGGCTGCGTTTGGTTACTTACCCTCGTGGACTGAGTGTCCATGTTTGTTTTCGTGGCATAAGCCGCGTTTGGTTAGTTACCTTCGTGGATTGTGTGTCCACGTTTGTTAATTGTTCTGATAAGTCCCTATATTTATGAATCCAATCATTTGATGATTTCATATTCTATTGGTTTTTATTTAGCAATTTTTTATAAATATTTATTTCATTTATGTGCTTTATTGAAATTAAGTGATATTATCATTTTCTATGATAGTTAATGATTTGAGATTTTATTTGAAATTTATAAAACCATTTTATTATGAAGTTATAAAATTTTTACGAAAATTTTGTCTATTTAACTTACATAACTATTTCAAACTTTTCATTTTATTTATGTTCTATTATTTATTAGTGGTACGTTATTCACTGGAAAAGATATTTTGGTCTCAGATGGTATAGTTGAACTCGTGACTCGAGATATCCACTGAGGAGTTTTACTGCTGAATTGAAGCAGAAGAATTACTTTAATCAAATCCTAATTTAGTGAAAATTTGAACTTTATACCTACGTTGGTGTCTGACCTTAGGTGCTCAACATAGACTACAGGTAGGATCCTCATATTTCCTTTAATCTTGAATATTTGATTTAATATTGTAATAATTTTTAATTACTCTATTAGTGTGTTAATGTATTAATTTCAGAGTTCCTTCTATCACGGCTTAAAGGATGTGAGGTTTGTGTCCATATCCTGTGCCGGTCACACCTGATTTTTTTGGGGTGCGACATGTAGTTTGTGATGTGGATGAAATCCGTTAAGACGATGAAGATGGTATAGCTAACCCAGTCAACGCCACCACCCAAGAGAAGAACAAAGTCATCTAGTGTTTTGTGCCGATCTGATCACACTGGTATTGAAGAAGTTCTAACTCTTCAATTTATTTTATTTTGGATGCGCTGGGCTCGTCAATGTATTGAAAAAATGCATTTAGTTCAGAACGTCAGCAAGCAAGTGTGATGAGAGTTGAGCTCACAACTAAATAATTTAGTCCAGTTGTGCGCAGTAGAAAACTTTTTTAATTATCTTTTAATTTTGTAATAGCTGAAGTTAGGTTAATAAGAATTGATTGATAGTATATTATTATTATTTGAGTTCATATATGTTATAATAGATTTACTACTACTTAGCTTATTGCAGAAGATGATATACCACATGCGTTCATGTTGTGCATGCAATCTCATCCAACTTCGAAGATTACGCAATTGAATATAAAATGATATTCGGCCCAATGTTATGCTGGTTTGATTTATTATATGTTGTTATGATTTGAGAAAAATTACAATATTAATTTAGAAACAAAATGAATACTTACATTGTAAAAATTTTGAATTATTCTCAAGTCTAACCACTCAAAAATAATGAGATCATTAATGTCTTTTCTGGAGACTCTGAACGTAATGTGTTTCCCAATGATCTTTTCAATTACATTTATTTCATTAGAAAATTCATTCATGTCAACCACCACTGAAGCCAACTGTTTCAAATTATCTTGCATCAGTTGGGGATTGGAGCCCAGAGATTCTTTTGATTGTAGAAGTTCTTATAATTAATTTATAATGAAAATTAGAAATACCTATGATATTAATTAAAAAATAAAAAATTGTAATATTTTCATACCTCTTTAGTAACCTATCAGACTAGCATTTTCAACCAAATAATGAAATTATACTAAGCTTGTCCTATGTTTGCACCTCATCAGTAGGGAATAGGATAAGAGTATTAGCATTTACAACCTCTTCAACCATCACCTTTACTTGATTATGTTGTATCTGTCGGTGGTGGACTATACTTGCATGGTTATACACTTTTTTATATGCAACTACTCGTTTCACATAAAGCATGCATGGAATTCCTTGATCTGATAGGCTAGAATCACACACTGGATCTGTAACACTATCATATTTCAATGCTTGTTGTGGTTGCATCTACAGATTACTAATCATTGATTGCATTTCCATTATCATGCTTGACTTGTATTCTGCTATCATCACTTGCACTTGCTGTATTGGTACAAGATTAGATAGTGGAGGTTCAAAATATTATCTTATATCCACGCTTTTTGGAACCCCCTAATATGGTCGAGGGTGCTTCTCCTTCCTACCATAGACACAAACGTCCCTTCAGAGAATGCTTCTATAAAGCATCCTAGAACATGCAAGCAAATAGAAACCAATGTAGTTAAAAAATTTAATCATATGATTAAGATATTGACTGTAAAAATACTTACTTTGTAATGTAATGTCCTACAGACTGGACGTGCATCCAACAACTACATAATCATTTCCATACAATATACAGTCGTCGGGGCAAGTATGTATCTTTTGGTATCCCAAACCCATTGGACACAAATTTTTTTTTTTTTTTGCCTCATGGTAACTACATGGAATTGTATTTCCCTCTAGAAGCATTTCTTTCAATAGTCTGAGCAACTCTGTGAAACTATTATTACTCCACCCATATCTCGCTTTCAAGTTGAACAACTTTAACACTGCTGTTAGTTATGTATATTTTGTACATCCTAGATACAAAGGCATTTTTGAATCATTGCATAACCTACCATACTTGTGCACTTTCTTAAGGCTTCAATGCCAATATCACATAATATATCCTCTATATTGTCACACCCCAAAAATGGGAATGACTGGCATAGGATATGCACCTAAACACACATCCTTTAAGCCTAATTCAAAAAATGTTCCATTTTGAAAATACTTTTCATTTAAATGAAGCTTTAATATTTTTGTGAAAATTCTAACAAAATTTCCCTTGAGAATAGGATTTCTCTAAAATTTTACAATACAAAATTTTTTAAAGAAATATTATAACATGTAGGAGCTCAGCTTCTACCAGCCAACAGACAAAATATCTATAAGTAAAGGCCAACATACAAATTATCTGCAAAAATAAAGCCTCTAATCATAGCCTATGTGGAGCACCTATAACGTTATTATAAAATACAATGTATAAATTAAAATTTCATATAAAATAAAGATTAACCAAAAAGGCCTCACAACTTCAATCGAGTAGCAAAATCCCTTAAGGATCTGAGGAAGGTACAAGCTATCTGAAACCAAAAATATTTTTTAGTGAATAATGCCCCAACTATGATATTTTTGCAGAATCAAAATGAAAAAACTATAACATTTACATAAATTAAAGAGAAAACAATTCAATGTAAATAAATTTCTAAACATGAAATAAAAGTTCTATATAACTTCAATATCGAGAAACTTTAAATTTATAATGACAAAGTAGTTTTAACATTTAATTTTGACAAATCCAAAATGATTAAATAAATAAATAAATAAAAATAATAACAATTGCTAATTAAAAACCATTAGAGTATGAAATCATCAATTAATTAAAATCTCATACTTTTGGGGATTTATTAGAACAATCCAAACTTGTATTTACTCATTAACTAAAATAATCATTTTTGATAAAATAATTTCACAAATTAAAGTAATTTTATAAACAAAATATCTAATAATCACATTATTATTGTAAAAGAATTTGCATTAAAATATAATATTTTGATAAAGAAAATTTTATTGTAATATCACTTGAGATGCTATCCACTTACTTGAAATGTTCTCAAAGTACAAGGTTCTCCTCTTTCCCCATTAATTGATATTTTTTTCCCAACTCCCTGAATATAGAGTATATTAGGGTCTTAATATACTTATAATAATGCTAAAAACCCTCTTACAACATAACACACACATACACACACAATGATTATAAATTTAAAACTTTAGAATCCATAATGTACATGAACATTTCTTTGTTGACATAACAAATTTCCCAATTCACTCAAAAGAGCTTTGTAGCATTTAAAGCTATTATCACATTATTTATCAACAATCATATATTTTTTAAAAATTCAAATAATTTGATACTACTTCATTGTAATAACTTACAAAAAAAATATATATAAAAATAATACACACACACACACTTCTTTAAGTAAACTTTTCAAGGCAAACTGATGGTTTATGGAAAATATCGTTGTTGTTAAATTTGAGGTCTGAGGTTTGAATCTTTCAGTTGCAAGAGTAGGATTATTTTTTGCTTTTCATCCTTTATAAAATTACCATTATGCCCTGGCACCATCAGATTTTTTTTTTTTTTTTTGGCTTCCTCCTCCAATTCAGTTTCGCATGGGATAGCGAGAGAGCAAGAGAGAGGTTGAGATCCAAAAGCTTCTTTCCCCATTCTTCATTTCGTCCTTCCCGTTCCCTCTCGCCACTGTCACCGGTGACCATGGATGCTCGAATCCTCTATTCCTTTCATCCTTCCTCCCCTGTTCTTCCTTTGATTTGTGCGAGTGGCCTCTTCTTTCTGGCTCAACATTGCTATCACCTTGTGTTCGCGATAGTGGTGCATTAGCATCCGTTCATTCTTGTTCCCCTACTTTTCTTGGTTTGTCTGATGGCTTGCCCTGTTTCTTCGAGGTTTAGTGTCAGTGCTGTGTTTGACCGTGCGTGGCAGTGAGTGCGCTAGTTCCATCCTCCATTTTTGCTCAGCTAAATTTCTCTTTTTGCTTCTAACTTTGCTGGTTTGAGGTAGGTGCTTCAGGTCCTATTTTCCTTCACTTATTTTGTACGTGTATTATTTGGGCTGAGCTGTGAATTCCTTCTTGCTGCCGTTGTGTGTGATAAGGAGATTAAAAGCATGACTTTTGGGTTGATAAATTGCTTTTGTGTTGGATGTTGCAGAGAAATAATTTAAATTTAATTTTCCTTGAATTAATTAAATGGCTGGTGTTGAATGAATAAAAAATTTGGAAAGTCCTCAAATATTGATTTTGGAAACCGTTGGAATGAGATTTGGAGAGAAATAACTTAGAATTTTAGTTTATAGATTAATGCATATAAGATGTTTGATGAAATGCCTAATTAGGAGAATTTGCTATATGATAACAAGATACATATGGTAATTATATTATTGTTAACTAAATAGGAATTAGAAGACAATTCGCTTCAATAGAAGTTAAAAGATGATTAGTTCACATATTTATATAGGACCACCTTTGGGAATTTAAGAGGATAGGAACTTGGTTTTATTGTCTAAATATTGTGCAAAGTAAAGGATGTTTGATAAATATTTAAAAGAGAAAAGTTTGAATTTTACGTGGCAAAATTTTGAATTCTGATAGATATGTCATTATTGATTAGATAATCCTAAGAGGCATATGTGTTTTGTAATTAAAGTTAAAATAGAAATTTGAGATTTTTGGGAGATATTTGAGTTGGTAATTTAAGGACCAAGTTGCTATTTATATAATTAATTATATTTTTATGTTTCATATAATGTTGAGAAGGATAAAAGTAAAGGTTTTCTTTGGAGAAAATGACAATTAAGTCCCAAAGCATTAATTTTATTTAAGGTAAGTCTCAAAACATTTTGAAAGGCCAGTTAAGTCCCTAGGTCCTTGAGTAGCATTTTAATATAATGAGAAATGATCAAAATACCCTTATTTGGCTTATGATAATTTGAGGTTTCTCCTTCTCTACTCTTACTTGCCCTGTTCGTCGTCTCTTCCCTGTCTCATTGCAAGCGAGTAAAGCTCTCTGTCGTCTCTTCCCTGGGCTATCCAGTAAAGCTGTCTGTCATCTCTATTATAGTTTTGTTTGATGTCTCTTCTTTGCTCTAAGTGATCAGTTGCTTAGGTCATTAATCTGTAATCTGTTTTGGTCATTAATCTTAATGGGTGTGATGCATTTACCTAGCTGAAGAGTCTGATCCTCATCAACATTCACCATTTTGATTATGTAAAAATTGCTTGTTCTTCAATTTTTTTCGAGTGTCTTAAAGGGGGACTATGTAGTTTGTACAAGTGAGGACATGCTCAAATGGATTTTAAGTTTGAAGTTATACATTGTACCCAATTAATCAAGTTTGCAACTTTGTAACTCTGTAATTTGTTTTCACAATTTTATTTCCAACTTCTAATATTGAAACGTATTTGTAATGTTCAAGTTATACATTATACCTAATCAATCAAGTTGCCAAGCAACTTAGGTAACCAGTTTTGCAA